CAGTGCTTGTGGTGTCCCACAGGAGTGTGGGAGCTGCTGGAGTTGGACAGAGGCAAAGAATCATTTTGAGAGTGATTCTAAAGCTGTCATTAATGAGACAAGGCAGCTGACAGTTTCTAGTTTCTAGTTACAACAAACAGTGACTGAATATTAAATATGTTCATATCCACTGTCATTTCTAATGCAGGGATCTGTATGTGGCCTCTTTGTAGTAGTGTCAGATGAAATTTGCATTACTGCAGGCACTTTCCATCTCCTCCATTGGAAAGGAGAGACAACAAACCATCTGCTCTGGGGATTTCAGAGGTCTCCACTGCTGTGCTGAGGGAGATATGTGGGCAGAAGGGCAAAACAGGGTCAGGAGGCAATGAAGGCACTCAGAAGCTCCTGGGAATGGCTTGTGCACCTGTATCATCCTCAGGCTGGAGGTCAGCTGGAATCGGGAGCTCCGGCATTGTTGTGCTCCTTGGGCCAAGCAACACACACGCCCCTCTCAACCCAGGAGGGCACACAAGCAACAGAAATGCCTGGAATCTCAGGCCTATGTTCCCCCCTCACTCTGCTCTGGTAGAGCTTTATTGGTTGTCTTAGTGACTGTGTTATACCCATGGAAGAAATAGCACCAACATAACTAAAGAGACTTAGAAGTACTGCAGTATCCCCATTCTCACACAAGAGCAGCTACCGAGGAGGGGACACCTTAGTGCCTGCCTCTTAACTAGAAGGGCTGATATTGCTTGAGCTACATTGATAACTCGTCTTCTAAAACATGAATGGCTTTTGCTGATCCTGCTCTCCAGCAGGGCCCAGCATGGCGCCGACAGGGTGATCCTGCTCAGTTAGCGCTTGTTCCACAAGCAGACAAGTGGCAGATAGAGCCTCTGGCTCAGCCCTGCTTGTATTGGTGACATTTACTTTTGAGTAACATCAATAGGGGAAACACTGTGGAATCATGTCATGTTTAATGCAGTTGTCTAAGGAGCAATGAACCACAATCAGGCTAATTAGCTTCTGCTTTAAAATCATCCTTCAGTTAAATTACTGAAATGTACCATGACCCAGCATGAAACCTAAGCACTGTTGAGGCCACATTTAAGCTGCTCTTGATACAGAATGACAATGTACTAGCCATAGAGTTTCCTATATTTATATTAATCCTTTTGCTTATTTCCCATGATAAAACTTTTTTGTTGTTGTTCTTTTTTACTTCTGGATATTTACCCCGATAGCTTTAGGACACTTGACAAAGTGCAGCCTGCAAAGCCCTACCTGGTGTAAGCAAGACTTGAGCTGTTCTTGGGTCTGTAGGCTGGTCCTGCACTGGGAAGACGCGAGCCAGCTCCGTGGTGCTCTGGAGAAGCTCTGAGCTCTTTGCACAACTGCAGGGGGTCATCATGGACAGAGAGCCTGGACTGTGGACAGGGATGACCTTCTCCCAGGGTGAATTACTGCTGGATTAATAACTGCCGAAGATTCCCGTTGTAAGAGTTTTACAGGATTTTACTCATACAGACATTTAGCTAAATACAACATATGCCCTATAATAAGGATTTAGCACTTGCAGTGAAATGCCCTTAAAAAAAAAAAAAACTTTAAAATGAGTGGATTGGATATCTTATATGCGTATTTTGAAGAGGTTAAACTAAAAGACGAAAGTCTCTGAGAGCATGGTTCTGCAACAGCACATGGATCTCTAATTGTTGCTGCTTATTCCCCATGCTTCATGCATTGGTACAGGCATCTCAGGGAAGTATTCGAGCAGGCAGGTTACCCAGGGAGGGCGCAGCTTGATCCTCCACAGCCACATCCCACACACGCTTCCTGGCTGCAGGCACCTGCTGCAGGTAACCTGACTTGATCTGCATTTTTCTGACTACCTTGTCTCTGTTTTTCTGAATACCCTGTCTATCTCTTGCTCATCTTCTTGGAAGCTACTCAGTTGCCTCCCATAACACTTTTACCTGACAAAACAACTCATCAACAAGAGTCTTAGAGCAACCTTACTGAAAATGGCAGCTGAATGTTTCACTGTTTGGCTTTTTTTCCTCTCCATTTCTGTGGCATCCATATTACCATGGAGGTCCATCCATGAGCTCCAGGAAGCAACAGAAAGCAAAGAGAAATAGCCAGGAAATAAATCTAAAGGACTTTTGGAGGGCCATCAACAGAAAAATTAAGCTAATGCCAGCATCTGTTTTGTTACTTATCGTGTTTAGCACACCTGACTACAACATGCATTCACAAAAGCAAATTCACAAAATGCATTCATACATAAATGCAATAAAATATTACATTGCTATTTTGTCAGTAAGGTGTTGTACTGAGCGTTTGATGTTTAACCTCCACTTTAGAAGCCAGAGATGAATTAATCTTTATTCTGACTGCCTCTGGCATTGTTCTCTCTCCATCCTTGATCATTTTGCTTGAAGATTCTTTGAATGATTGAAGTTCTATACTGACAGGGTACATTAATCAGATAAAAAGAATAACTGATGAAAGAATTTTCAGAATTTAATGTATGCAACATTTGTTCTCTGTCATTTTGTTCCCTCTGTGAAAATAGGAATTTCAACCATCATGGATGTGAAGATGCAGAACAGTGGCTTAAGATTTAAGACAGGCTCTTCCTAGTTCATTGAATCAAACCTCATTTTCAGGGCCAACGAGATTCAACCATGATGTTATTGTAGAAGAATCTCAGTAAGCAGCATCCAACTAACTGGCTTTTATTCCTGATTTCAGGTATACCTATTTCTATGGCATCTATGCTTAATGTGATCTCCATGAAGCAACAAACAGCAAAGCGAAATAGTCAGGAAATTACTCTGTGATTAGAGCCCTGTAGGCATGGAAGCAGTCACATTTGAAAGGTCAAATGTTCACTCCTGATTGCAGACACTTCTTTTCTCTGTAAAACTTCATTTCAGTAGTGATATTCCTTATGACAGCGAGAAATTCAGTAAAGGATAAAACTGTCCTCCTTTATTTACAGGATATAATGTGGCTTTCATATAGAGTGATAGATTCAGGAAATGCACTCAGTGTCATCTTGAAGCACTTGCCTTTCATTTTGGCTTTAGCTCTGAGGTGAACCCGAAAGATCTAGCAATATTATGAAACTCATCTCCATCCTTGGAGATACTCAGCACAGGTCACAGTCCTGGAGATGCTGCTTCAAGAGCAGGGGCGTTGGGCCACATGATGCCCAGAGGTTCCTTCCAACCTCATTTGTGCTGCTGTGATTCTGTAGGTCTTGTCATTCTGCGGGCAGGGGAACATTTCCATAAGTCTTATCTCCTACAGAGATTCCTGCATTGATTCTTGCACATTGACGTGACTCCTGTTTCCTCATGTGGCTTACGACATCCTCCTCTTTCCCTCTGTACCTATCCACCCCAAGGCCTCCCTCACAGCAACGGCAAGATGCAGCAGATGCTGCAGGCAGCTGAGAGTGCCAATTACTTTGCTAGTAAGGCTTGCTAAGTGGTCAGCCAGAAGGACAAATGCATAACTCATGCCAAAGCATTTTTTAACAGCAGGAATATTTTTGATCAACTCACCTCTCTTCCTCCTGTTAGCTTCTAATCTTCAGTTAACTAGTCTATTATTTTCCACAGCTTTCTACCCTGATTAAAAGAAATCAGTTACAGGTTAGCCAATGGGGGTGAAATGGGCAGGTCAGGGCTGACAGAGAACAAGCACGAAGCCACCCGAAAACAAAATCCAGGGATTCTCTTGAAAACACACCCAGGATCTGAAAGCAGATACAGGCCACATCTTATGAAGCAGCCTCTCCTTTCCTCCGAGCAGCCAGCGGGTGAAGAGGTAACAGCACCATCGGGAGGGTCACTACCCACGGAAGCCCTGCCTCTCCCAGCCACATGGCACAGCAATAACCTTTGCGGGTTAAACACTGGTCTCCACCCAGCCGAATATCTGTGTGAATCCTTCCCACGTTCCCCTTCTAGCAATAGCAGCACAGCTGGACCAAAATGCAGCGAGAGCAGCAGCACTCTTAGGAACCTGCCTGGGGGGCTATGGCGACGGGAGGCAGAGCAGAAGCAGCAGCCCTGCTGCTGAGGAGCTGTCTGAACGGCTGCGCCACATGTGTTCTGCCAGCTGACACAGCTCGGGCAAAGCGGGGGACAGGGATCTAACTCACACAAGTTACCTCTGCACCTCTACAAATGAACCTCTCTCTCTCAAAAGCTAAGGTTTCAGACCTAAGTATGCCTTTATTTGGGCAACTGAACCTTAATTGCCCAGTTATCAGTCTGTGTCCAATTGTAAAGCTAGATGCTCCACTTTAGAAAAGCACCTCCAAAAATTCGGCCCGCTGTACCAAACTCTGTAGGTCTGGAAGCAAGGGTTTACATTCACACTTGCTTCTTTAACTCACCATTATATATTTGTTTTCCTGAAATACTCTTCTACGTATAGAAAAGTGGACACCACAGTGTCTCCAAGAAATCACTCCACTATTCTAAACGTCCTCAAGGAGCAATATGGAGACAGAAGGGCTTGGTGCCTTTCCCGGACACGTGAGGTACATTCCCATGGCAAGCTCAGGCCAAAAACTCCCATTACCACCCACAAATATTTTAATGAGATCTGCATACATATATCACACATGTACAGACATCAAGCAAAATAAACCACACAGCTCCATTATAAAAGTGAAGTACGAAGACATTCATTTACAGTGCAGTAAAGAACAAAGACACTTTAGATATTTGCAGCACTGCATATGACAGATTATAAATGAGCTCGGTCCCCAACTTGTGACATTCCTAGTGAAGTGATGCTGATATCCCCTTCTTCTGAAGAACTTCACATCCTCCATCAGTGTAGGACGGAGACAAAACTGAGGAGACTAAAAGGTGCTTTGGGTCATGAATTATTTGTTTCCAATAGCAGCTATAATGTGTAATGTTCACAAGAATTGCGAGGTGCTGAGCAGACAAAGTGCAAACCCCTTTCACTTACTGTTTGTAACACAATTGCTTGTGTGTATTTCCACTACATAGCACTTCTTGACTGTCCATCCGTCCAAACTTTATCAGCAACTTGCAAAGTACAGAAATGACTATTAATTGTGGTAACACAGTGCACAGAAAAAAGTCGGTGTATTCTGGTTCCCCTTTTAGAAGATTTCAGGTCTTCAGTACTTCTGAGGTAAAGAAACCAGAGTGTTTTAAGTTATTGACATCAAACTAACGTAATACAACACAGGCTCGAAAAGGACTCGAGAGCCTCTGTCTCCACATGACAAGTCTCTGAGCATCCTGCTTGCTGCACTGACACTCTGAGTGGTACTTTTCTCTTAACTGTAAGCTAAGCTAAGGGACATCCAGTCAATACAGTGAGAGCTCTCCAGGGTACTATTTAAATTGCCTGCCTAGCACATCACCTTAGGATGGGCTCAATCCTTCCCTGGAGGTGTGTGAGGGCAGCCACATTGCTAGCTCACACTGTTTGCCCAGCTCCTAGACGTTTCAAATTCTATTATGTGAATCCCACCCCTAAACCAGAACATCAAAAAGGAAGTTACTGATATGAGAATATCAGGACATTGAGCTTTTCCAGAACTTTGCAATTACTGTCTCAGATTTAATTCCCTTACTAACAAGCAGCAAATAGCAACAGTAAAAGAGTGCATAAGCCAATAACCCCTCTGGCTCTTCTCAGTAGCAGTCACATTTCAGTATCAGTGGTGCCTAGTTGGTCATTTCTTGGCAACCTAGGCTACAGTGAATTGCAGAATACCTATTCTTAAGTCAAAAAAGACAAGTATTGTCTTATTACACTTACTAGAGTGTAAAAAAGTCTGCAATTTGATCAAAGCAGACCACAGCTACAGTCAGTATATAGTCAAGGATTAGGCTGTTTCCATGCTAGGGTGGCATGCCATAATGAAATAAAATCCTCTTCAGATTTCCTGAGTAAGATCAGCGTGAGGCCAGCTTGGAGGATATCACCTATAATGGTTTCAAGATGAAGAAATGATAACACACCCATGTGCAAAAGACCTCTGAGATAGAATTATACAAATACCAGTTGCTCTCTGTGTCCATACACAGACACTTAGGTTTCCCCCAAAGGAAGGCTTGTCACTCTTCATGTAGTGTTAAACCTGCAAGAAAAACACCTCATCCACAAGACACAATGTCCCAGACATGTAACTTTCCCAGCAGGTGGGGTGGCACCTTCCAAAAGCACCTGCTGCTCCCAGTTGTACTAGGCATTGGAAGAAACACTCCGATGGGGATTCCTGTTTTGAGAATTTGTTGTCTTGCTCCAGGCTTCATCAGTACTGGCAGGTGATTTTGAATCTGCTTTGTCCACCAGTTTACTGGATTTGGGAGGCTTGCAAAGGAAGCAGAGGAACTTGCAACAGGACAGCAGACCTTCAGAAACGCTGGATGAGAAGAGCTTCTTGCACGGGTGGCAGAACTGGTAGAACACCAGCATGAAGAAGACAGCCATGCAGTAGCCCAGGAGGAGCTGCAAGACCAGCAGCGGGGCACACACGTACAGGTAGGTGTCGGTTCTGTAGACGTACCACATCAGCAGGAGGAAGGCGTTCTCGATGAACCGCAGCATGTAATAGACCGTCAGGCGGTACCAGTTTTGGGATTTACTAATTAAGTCGGGGTCGTTGAGCTTCAGCTGCACCGCCGACCAGCAGAACATGTTAATGCCAGCGTACAGGAGGGTGAGGAGGCACAAGGCGATGGTGGTGCCAACCCTGCTCAAGGCCTTCTCTATGTTCTCAGGAAACGGGGACTTGCTTTGGCAGAAGAGAACCCAGGGATAAAAGAAAAAGACAAATAAATTCACCAGCACAACAGGGAGAATCCAGATTTGAAGGACTGAACTGAAAAGGACCAGAACTGTCACGCGGGTAGCAATCTCGAAGCTTCTCCACAGGAATATGCAGAGGTAGGCAGTTGGTTTCACATTCACATCGTAATCATCATACTTGATCTTAATAGCCAGGATGTTGCAGCGTAAGGCGCCATAGACAATTGACAGGAGAGAAAGGACCATAAAAATACCTGCCAAGAGAAAAGACAAATCAGATCCTCCAGCTTAGCAGAAGCTAAAGGCATTGCAGCCACAGTAATGCAGATAGTCTTCATGGTCTAATACCATTCATTCATTGTATCCACTCATGGATAACAAATGATGAAGGGAATGGGAAGCAGTGTTACTTTCCCAAGCAGATATAAAGCAGAAAGGCACTGAGTAATCAGTGGCATCTCCCCCCACGCAGTGGGGTTTGTGCAAATACTGTCTTTGGTAATTACACTGCTCAATCATGAGGATATACAAGTTAGCCTCAGACTTCAATGTGATTCTTACAGTACCCTATCACAGAGAAGAGCTCTTCACTCTGTGTACCGAGGTACTCAGAGACAGAAGCTGAAACTGTTAAGAATTCCTCGGGTGTGCAGATACCACCGTGCTCATCAAGTACGGGGCTGAAGCAACTTATCTGAGCACACAGACGAGGCCTGTGCCAGAGCTCGAAACTGAAAGTCAAAGCCTGCAGTCTGAGACCAGAAGCTCAGACCCAGAGTTGTTTTCATTTCTTCTGCTTGTATAGGCAGTTGCTTGCTCATGTGGCTCCAATGCCTTATGCTGACTTCATGCACTTAAAAAAAAAAAATCCATTAAAAACGCTCAAAAATCTTTAAATGTAGATCATGTAGTTCTCCAAGATCATGTGTCAATACCTCCCACGGCCCAGAGCCCCTCAGGGGAAGAGGTGCCAGTAGCAAGTGACTGCAGAGCTGCAGCTGTGACTTTCCCTCGGGCCTGGCAGAGGGAGAGCCTGGTGGCACCGCAGCAGGGTGCTCAGTTTGCCCTCCACGGGCTCACGCCGTCGTCCCACAGCTCTTGGGCACATTTAACTGCAGGTCTCTCATCCAAGAATGAAACAGAAACAGGGACTAGAGCTCTGGACGGCCACGTCGCAGCAAAGACCTCGCAACCTTCTAGCTGAGGGCTGCCCAAGACGTGGGAATTACAGGGCTGAATAAACAAGAGTACAGGAAGGAACTAGGGGAAAGTTTCTAAACTGAGTACGCACAGATGTAGGAGAACCCCGCATGTACCATATGAACATTCAGAGAAAAATAGTCAGAGGTGCTGACCACCCAGTTTCATTAGCATCTGCATACTTTCTGCACTGTTTTTACTAACAAGCTGAATAGCAGATTTAGGGGACTATTTTTTAGGGTAAAAATCAATGCTTCAATAAAGTTCAATGCTTGAATCAAAGAATATCTCAAACACAAATGAGTTCAGTACAATAGAAATGATTCAGCAGTTTCTTGCAAAATCTGAATTAAAGTAACCAAGCTAAGTGGCCATGCTGCAGGGCACTGCACTGCATCAGACAGAGGGCAGAGCTGTCAATGTTTGGTCATGTTGACTACTTCAATGCAGAGCTTGGCAACCAGGGCTGTCCGCGGCCTCCAATTCATGTGTGTGTCACGAGCCTCCAAATGAACTGGATTCTCTGCCTTGCTATATTATTTAACTGTAATTATTTACTATATTATTTAACTATTTAGCAATGATTATCATTTTCTCCTACTTAAAATTATTAATCCCTGAACATGACTTTGGGAGAAACAAGTATATGGAAGTCAAACCCCCTCCCAGCCATCTCAACCCTCAAAAACCTCTCAATTCCTCTGGTAAAAAAAAAAAAAGAATCCTTTATATCTGAATTGCCAATAGGATTCGGTTACCTGAAAAATTTATATATGGTAATTTTTATTATTTTAAAATTATTTAAAAATTATTTTAGTATTTTTATATGGTACTCTTATACATGCCAGCGTGGTAGAGCACATATTCCCTGAAAAGAAACAAATACATAAGCAGTGCTTCAATTTTTAGTGTGTGCTTTTAAATACCTTTTCACAGCACTGCATTTGATCTGAGAACTTTTAAGTGTTACGACCTCAAAAATAGCAGCTAAAAGCAGAAGAGCAAGCAAGTGCATTCAGGAATATTGGCGATACCCTGTGCCTCTTTCCAAAATTTTTTCCTGTCTTTCTCTCTCTTCACGTTACATTCTTGGCTGCAGTGGGTCTGGCAGACATGGATATGACAAATTTGGAGAATACCTGATATGGGCAAAAACGTAATTATCTGCTCTAAAATATCTAGAGAACACAATGAGTGCTATGAAGTACCCAAGGGGGCTGCATCATGGGTTCAGTTGTGGAAAAGGGTTAGCAAGGCTGCGTGCTTGTTTCCAAACCATCCACTTCAATCCTGGAAGCAATGATGGCTTTCAAAGAGATCTACAAGGACTGAGGCACGCTCGCTGTGTGGCATGCTGGTGCACAGCTCTCACTTCACCTCACTACCATTGACTAAGCCAAATTCAGTAGAATATGGGTAGAATGTGAATCCCAAAGATGCAGACTCACGAAGAGGCAAGTCAAAAAATATGGAAATTGAAAATCAGGAAGAAGAGACAAGTCTTACAACCAAGACAAATGAAAAAGGTCGCACAGTTTGGAAGATCGATGTCAAACACAGGAAAGATAAAGACCAGATAGTGTGTGGAAGAAGAGCTGGACTGGCTGCTAACCTACTATATGTCCCTACACATCTGTGTGTGTGTGTGTGTGTGTATATATATATATAAATATATATATAAATATATATATAAATATATATATAAATATATATAAATATATATATAAATATATATATAAATAAAACAATGCCAAGCTGAAACTGCAGTATGCATCATTCCTGCCTCCTCTGGAGGCTGAATAACATTGGTGGGCAGAAGATACCACTGCAGAAATAAGGCAACTGAAGAGACAGCAGCAAGTTTCAAAATTTCAGAAGATAAAATACATATAGAAGGAATACGTTCATGACATGAAGTTTCAAGCGATGATTACTTTGGTTTTAACATATGCCAGAATGGAAATGGGAGTTTTGCTCCACATTTTAACTTTTGACTTCCATACTTTATATTTAGAGAGATTCGGCTTCTGAGAGACACAGGATATCAACATTCGCAATAGAAAAAAAGTACAATAAGATGGTGACCTCTCCCAAGCAGGGATATCTGCAGTGAACTGCTTGGAGACTGTGCTAATGATCAGCAAAGGATTCAATGCCCTGTTCTTGTTCCCGTGTCACAGACAACCACAATCATTCAGTGATGCTACCACAGCTGCAATGCCCTTGGACACAGCCAGGAATGATGTCTTGGGCTTGTCAACTGTCACAAGCTCAAACAAAAACACCTGTATTAAGCTATTAATTAAGCTACTTAAGCTTGCAGTATCTCTATGTGCTTTGGCACTCTGAGAGTTTCCATTCCCTGAGCTGAGGGAAGACACCTGACACTGCTGTGTTGACTTCTCCAAAAACCTCAGTTCTTTATCTTGGTGCCTACTAAGGCATCAGAATTGAAAACAAAAACAAACAAACAAACAAGCAAAAAAACCCCAGATGGGTTTATAACCTATTTTCATCCTCCCTAACTGTGAGGATGATAAAGATCATCAGCCTCGCAGGGCCTCATAGCTACAAGAGCTACTTCGTATTCCAGCAGAGAGACATGGGTGCCAAAGCCCTTCCTATACTCAATCCATTGTGAACAGCATCCCAGAAGACCTCATGCAGGAGGGCAGACAGATCCTGCTACTAGCAGCCAATAGGTAAACCAAGATTTTTCTAGGACTGGCACACATCATGGAACAAGATGTGGTAAAAGAAATATGCGACCTGCTAAGTCCATGTGGTTCAGCACTCTTTCAACACGCCTTCAACACAAGGCTTGAAAGCTCATAATCTGGAGATCATAGGGCCATACTTGCATACTTAGCTATTTAGCCCTGCCTTTTGCATGCAAACTCAGAGGCTGGCACAAGCAAAGCCAGCTCGTGTCCTCAGTACGGATTTGAAGGTGCATTCCTTTCAAGTACATTGTCCTTAATGCAGCATGGCAAAGGATGCTTTGCACTGTACCCCCAGGAATTTCCTACAAAGCTTGCCCAGAAATCAAAAAGGGAATACAGGGCATTTGTTTCTTCCATTCCAAGGAGCCAGCTCAGTCCCTGCAGCTGCCTCCTCCTCCTGCCCTAATGGCCACTTATCAGATTAATATTTCTACAGCAACCAGAGCAAGCTACAGCATCATGGTCTAAAACACGATGCTGCAGAGAAGAACCTGAGTATGACATCACCACCCAAATGTGCCAGGGAGCTGAACACCTCACAGCGTTTTAGAATATTTCAGAATATTTCAGAATATTTCAGAATATTTAAGGTTGGAAGGGACCTCTACAGATCATCTAGTCCAACCTTCCTGCTCAAGCAGGCACACCTAGAGCATGTGGCACAGGGTGGCATCCAGGCGGGTTTTGAAGACCTCCAGAGAAGGAGACTCCACAACCTCCCTGGGCAGCCTGTTCCACTGCTCTGTCACCCTAACAGTAAAGAAGTTCCTCCTCACCTGGAGACGGAACTTCTTGTGTTTCAGCTTGTGGCCATTACCCCTCGTCCTATCGCTGGCCACCAGAACAGCCTGTCCCCTTCCTCCCTGCATTCTCCCTTCCTGAACTTATACATATTAATCATATCCCCTCTGAGCCGCCTCTTCTCCAGAGAAAACAGGCCCAGCTCRCTCAGCCTCTCTTCATACGAGAGATGTTCCATTCCCTTAATCATCCTGGTTGCCCTTCTCTGGACCCTCTCCAGAAGCTCCACGTCTCTCCTATACTGGGGTGCCCAGAACTGAACACAGTACTCCAGGTGCGAGTTTTCCATTCTTGTCAGCAGCAGCTGCATCTGACTGCTGACTCTTCCTCTCACGAAAACACGGAGGGGTCAATGCTGGCTCTACCTACTTCTGGCAGCTGTGATGTCCTGCTGCAGGACGCAGATGTAGAGCTGCAGCGTGAGCTGGGGCGCGGAGCCGAGGAAGGCCTGGATCACGGAGGCGCGGCTGAACGCGGAGCGGTGCGTGCACAGCTTGCCCTCGGCCTGGCCCACTTCCTTCTCCACTTCCTCCGAGTGCCCGTCCTTCGGCATCTGCCTCTTCTTCGTGATGCTCACATAGGGCTCTTCAACTCTGCCCGCACGGAAGTAAATGTAAAGGACTTCCACACACCTACATGCAAACGAGCAAACACAGGAACAGTAAAATAAAACAAAAGCATCCATCTTCCCACTCCTCAGTATTTTAAGTGTTCAGTGTACTAAGTCAGTTTCCATGTAGAGAGCAAACCTGCACATTTTCCCCTGCTGGCGTGCTTGGAATATGACAGATTCCATCAGTAAGCACGAACAACAGGCGACCAGAGGGCAAGGCCCTAGGAGGGCCCTTTAGGCTGCCTGCAGCAGTGCTCAAACACGGGAGGTTTAGACATTTCCTCGCAACTGCCTATTCTCTCTGTGGACACCAGACCAGTTTAAGGACACAATTAAAGTCCTTAAACTATGTGCCCACTGCAACCACCAGAGCCTCCCGATACAGGGCCCGAGGTGGAAGGGTCTCTGCAGGTACTCAGCTTTGGTTTGGTTTTGTTTTCTCCAGTGCTACCCATACCTCCGTGACACCCTAGCAGGATAGGCAAGAACAGCCCTTACTGACAGGTCTGCCTTAACTCGGGCACCCGTCGCTCTAAGTGGGTGCTCGCAGCGGTGCTCTAACCCCCGAGCTACCAAACTCACATCCCCAGACACAAGCAGCGAGCAGCAGCAGCAGTGAGGACAACCAGCAGCCACCTTGTCCTCAGTTTAGAGCCTCACAGTGTGCTCAGGATATTAACCTTTTTAAAAAGGCATAAGAAATACCAGAGCTCTATTCCTTATTTTTGCTTACGGTTATTCCGCAGTTTAAGAAGTATTAAGCAGAATCTTACAAAAATACTCAGAATAACAAGATACAGTATTTATAGTTTCTGTAACTCGCAGGTGAACCCACTCTCTCATTCATATAGGTCCAACTTACCATAGACCAAATAAAAGTGCTGCCCGTGCCTGCATTTCTATTCAGAAGTTAAACCCTGGGAGGTCGTGCAGGGTGGCACCGAGGCTCCTCTCCTCTGCTTGGCTGCCTCCATACAGAATACTTACTCGAGTGCAGTACCTTTGAGACTGCTATAGGTCAAATTTGGTTCAAACTGACTGAAGATTTGAAAAGTTGCATAACTGAGTCACAGTCACACACACACACACGGCTATATGTATCACACTTGGAAACATCCCTTTCCTGTAATAAACCAGTCTGAATATAGCCTATGTCACCATATGTCACCTCACTGACTCCTGTAAACAACTGCAAATGAGTTCTTATAATGAAAAATTTAAGGCTTGGCTGTCTTGCTTTCAAAAATATCTCACAATTACACACCATGGAAACATGCTTATCTGAGACTACTTTTTTTAAAAAATTTTTATTTCCCTCACAATTTCTTTTTCTTTTTTTATTAATTCAAACTGCCAGTCCCTCAGTGTGCCATGGCCTTTTGGAGGAAAGCTTACAGGGCAACCTGCACAACAGCACTGATAAAAACCAAGTGAAGGCCATCTGACTTTTGTTTTCACAGTCCTGATGTCCTTCCACCCCCCAGACTGGACCACCACCAAGTTTCCAGGGCTCAAACAGAAGCTGCTTTCAGGATTCTTTAGCCTCTCACTGATGGAACCATCTGAAGGGCCTGGAAGCTCCATTCCCAGCGGTTAGTTTATGTTTGCCCTTATTAATCTTCTCAATCCCTGCCAGCCTTATTCTATGTGAAGGAATCCATAAAGCCAAAAATAAAGTGTGAAAAATTAATAGAGCACAAACAGCCTCTGGAACCAGCAGAGATTTTGAAACCAGCATATTGATTTTATTCCAAAATAAGATCCCGGAGCATTTAAGTCTTGGTGTTCACAGCAATCTATTTATGCTGAGCTGGGGGTAAGCCTGAAGCTATTAGGGAAGCAGATCTCAGCACCAGCCTACGAACTATTTTGGTGTGTGACTAGAGGCGGATATAGCCTCAGGATCCATCTAACAAATAAGCAGTAATCCCAGAAAAAGAAGTGATAATATTCATGAAGCTACTGGCTATAGCAAATGTTACAGCCAACAAAATGCGGGGCTTCATGAAGCCTTTGATATGTATTTCACAGAATCACAGAAGGTTCAAGGTTAGAAGGGACCTCTAGAGATCATCTAGTCCAACCTTCCCGCTCCCAGAAGCTCCTACACCCAGAGCACGGGGCACAGGGCGGCATCCAGGCGGGTTTGGAAGATCTCCAGAGAAGGAGACTCCACAGCCTCCCTGGGCAGCCTGTGCCAGGGCTCTGTCAACCTCACAGGGAAGAAGTTCTTCCTCACACGGAGATGGAACCTCCCGTGTTTCTGCTTGCAGCCATTTCCCCTTGTCCTGTCACTGGCCACCAATGAGAAAAGCTTGGCCCCCTCTTCCCTACAATCTCCCTTCATGTATACATGTTAATCAGATCCCCTCTCAGCCTTCTCTTCTCCAAGCTGAACAGGCCCAACTCACGCAGTCTCACTTCATATGAGAGATGTTCCAGTCCCTTAATCATCTTGTAGCTCTCCTTAATCATCTTTGTAGCTCGATTTATTAGCTAGACCCTGAGCAGCAGTATACTGAGCACCACGCTTGTGATGGGCTATTTTAGGTCCATACATGTAAGCAAAAAGCTACCAATACAGGGTGAAACGTCTGATCAGTACAGCCAAAGGGGACCTTTACCAGCACGGTACTAAAAGCAACACTCAGACTGCGTCTGTGGCGATGCCCCTCTTCCAAACCCTGCCCATCTCAGGCACGGGTGCCTTTGGAGTCGCTTCTTTTGGGGCTGACGTACTTGAGTGTACTCAAGACTCCGGCTGCTGCCACAGGCCAATCTGCTTCAAGGGGGGGCAGCCTGGCACCTGATACACTGCAAAAGGGAGCACTTCCCACTTCCAGTGTTGAGGTGAGAGGCTGTAAGACGAGCACGGGCACTTCGAGGGCCAGCTAGAGCAAAGGGGTCAGCACCGTGCTGAAGAATCAAAGCCCCTGTGCTGTGCTATGATTCAGAGCGATGGCAGATGTAGCAGGGGCCCAGCAGGAACTGCTGCTATTTCAAAGAAAAAACTGTCCATCCACCCTCCACACTACAAGGTAAGAGATGAGAGAAAGATGGTGCAAGGCTTGGCAGAGGGAAGAGCTGCACATTACACTCCCAAGGCTCCCGATGATGCCTGCAAAGAGTGACTCAGCAGCAACACATTTGTCTTGCGTGCAGTCAGTGGGAGGAACAGCCCTATCCTTATACCTTACAGGTCCGCCGAGAGCGAGCACCTCATTCCCTCACTTCCTCACAGATACAGGGGATTTAATACAGGCCAAATAAGGATGCTATGAGGAGAAAATACAAAGATCTGCTCCTCACTCATTGCTCTATCTTCCATCTGTGTTGACTTTCTACTTATCTCATCTGGGACACCTAATGTATCTCCTGAAGTACAGAGAGAAAAGAAACCTGAAGGACTAAGCATATGCAACCCATCTGGAAAGAGGAAGATGCAGCAATATCTGTAAAATTTAAAGCTTGCAGGATTTCCCCAAGTAAGGTCTGCCAAAGGAAGCCCTGCAAGAAGATCGTTTTTTTGAGATCTGTGCTATTCTAAACTATAAAGCAGGTCACCAAATGAGAGACAATCTTTGTGTGTAACAAACCTGAAGCATTCTGGACTACTAGATTTTAAGTGCAGAACAGGCGTCCAAGATCTTAAATGAATGTGAAAGTTTCAGCCCATTGTTTTTCTTTTTCCTCCCCTGCAGCTCACAAAAAAATCTAACTTCACCTGTAACAGCTGCTCCTCTAGCAGCTGGATGAGAACTTCCCACTACTTCTCCTCTGCCCTTTCCCCCGTGGGGCAGCATGTGATTTTATTCTCCCTTGTGCCTTGAGAAACAAAGTCTGACCCCATCAAGATAAAATCTACGGATTACATCTTTGTCCTTTTAAAAGCAGAAGGCAGACACTCACTAGTGTTCAGCCCGTACAGGGGCCCATTTCTTTCGCTGTGAGTTTTTGTTTCAAGAGAAGTTCACTGCCGGGCAGGCAGAGCCGGCTCCTACCTGTGTATTCCCTGAAAGCCAGGCTCTGGGGGCGCACATTCAGCTGGCAGAGCACTAAGGAGGCTCTTTGTAAAGACATCCTGGCATCGGTCGCTTTCCTGCCTCTGAAGCTGCTATCAGAAGGAAGCACCACCAGCCCCTCCTGCTCCTGTCATTGAGGAATGTTTGTGGTTAGGGAGATAGGATATTCCAGAGCGGTCAAGCGATACTTCCCGCTGTTATTCATGGGAATTGCAGCAGTGCCCAAGATCCTGAGGTAATCTCGATGCTGCTGGTGCTGTCTAAACACAAAGAGGTCGACCTTAGTCCAAGAGCTGCCGATAACAGACCAAAAAGAAATGTGGTCATTTCTGAAGAAAAAGGTCCAACCAATAGTGGCTACTACTTTAAGACAGTTCTTGCTTTTTTAATTTATTCGATGCAGTAAAAAACAACAACAAAAAAACCCAACTCCTCCTACAAACAAAAAGAGGAGAAAAGGAGAAAATATCTAAATATATTTTCGAAGCATCCGGACAAACTACCGCATTCTCAAGGCGTTTGGGCAGTAGCCCAAACTGCTGCAGAAATCTGCACTCACCGTGCCCAGAAATCTGCAGCCAGAGCGACCCAGCCAACCCCTCTGAAGCGCCTCACGCACCCCGGGAAACTTCCAATTTTAGTGCTTCCAGAGGCAGCGCCAGGACAGCAAATGCCTCCTGAACAAGCGGAATGTGGGTGTTTGGGGAAGGTGGCAGTATGTAAAAAAGGTTCATAAGGGAACATATTTTCTTCTGTCATATAGAGGATTCAGAACAGGCTGGATCATTTGGCTTGCTAAGCTGAACATCCTCTATCCCCTTCCAAGGTATCTCCATATTCTTCAAACTCTAATTTCTTTTCCTTAAGAAAAAAGCAAAAAAAAAAAAAAGATAGAGGAAAAAGACTAGCTTTTAAGACTATGAGAAAAGCACCACAAAATGTACAAGGGCACGACCCGGTAAACCAGTGCAGTGATATTTAGTTGGCAGTCTGAAGAGTGAAACACTAGGTGTCCTGCATTATGTCACAAACATTAGCTTTTAACGGGAGCTTTTTCCTATGGTCATCCCAGGCAGACTGCCCTCGATTGAATTATATCATCTGCTGCAATCTGCAGCCTATTCCAGGCTTCACTGTGGTGCCACAAGTGAACAGAGCCTGGGATGCCTCTTTTATTTACAGCCCTTTTAACCTAATTCCCAGAGCTCGGCAGGGCTCACGCTGTAGCCCTGTGTGCTGTAGCCCGTGGCGCACGGCGAGAGGCGATAGCAGGGCGTCACGCAGAAGGCAGGGCAGAAAACATCTACCTCTCCTCCCTTCTCCTCAGCCCTTAGCAACTCTTAGGCATCAGTAGCTTTGAAAAAGAAAAATCATAGAGATTAAAAAAAAAAATCACATAGACATCTACAGTCTAGCTCTACATCTGCTGGAAAATGATCTCTTCCCTCTTCTGACGGATACAAAATATTTAGTGGCAGTGGATGGGAAGGCGATGCAAAGGAAGAAAAGAGCTTATAACTATCTGCCTTGTAACTATGTCTGTCTCAGATCAGTCACCGTCTCACACTTCTTTTTTCCAACTGTCCTATGACTAGATACATTTCTCTGGATCTAAAGGGAATCTGATTTCTAAAAGCAAGTTCTTCAGGCAGCATGACAATACTGTTTTAATCATTAGTTATAAAGTTATCCTGGGTCTAGAGAGAGGCTACCAGGCATCACTTAGTACTGTTTAAATGATGACACTGGGAACTGTAATCACAGAATCATAGAATCATAGAATGTTGTGATGCAATATATATACATATATAATTATATATGTATATGTAATGTGTAATATATGTAATATGTAATATAAATACACAGTAAATTTTCTGCAAAAATCTTCCAACTTTCTGGAAATTCTAAGTTCAATAAATCTTTGGGAAAGGCAAAAACACAGGGCTGCTGGCACACCAAGACTCGTGGAAACGGGGTGGCTTCCATAAGCTCACGCACAATTTTGCAGCAACTACTGCACCTAGCACTTGATCCACACAGGAAAAATTGTCTTCTGTGTAAGGGGGATCTAGGTTAGACTTAGAGGGGGAAAAAAAGTGAAGCACGACTTAGTTAAGGTCAAAGCCAAAGAAAAGAAGAAGAAAAAGAAGAAGAAAAAGAAGAAGAAAAAGAAGAAGAAAAAGAAGAAGAAAAAGAAGAAGAAAAAGAAGAAGAAAAAGAAGAAGAAAAAGAAGAAGAAAAAGAAGAAGAAAAAGAAGAAGAAAAAGAAGAAGAAAAAAAGAAAAAAGAAAGATTTCTAAAAAGAAAATTCTACCAATTTATCCATCCTTTCATTTCAGCATCACAGATCTTTTATTTCCACGTCCTGGGAATTTTGGTAAGTTGGGGATGTTTCTCCTAACTGTACTAAAAAAAAAAAAAAAAAAAAAAGAGAGAGAGAAGAAAAAAGAAAAAGTATCCATTTCCCTTTCTTTTTAAATGAATTATATGAACATAAATTCAAGACGAAGTCCCCAGCAAACACCTGCCGTGCGGCCGCCCCGGTTCTGCACCCGGCCACCCTTCCTCCCAGGGACATTCGCACTGGCAGTTGCGCAGACGCCCGAGGGTTTGGGGCGTTCGCAGCAGGGTGTTTTCCCACGCGCTGGCAGAGCCCAGGGCCGCACGAGCGCGCCCAGCCCGCAGCGCCGGCCCCGCCGCCACCGCCGGCCGCAGCAGGCGCCGCCGCAGCGCTGCCCTGCCCTGCCCTGCCCTGCCCGCCCGCAGAGCGCGGGCCCGGCAGCCACGCGCGGAGGGCAACGCGGCGCGGAGCCACCGCGCCCGCCGAGCGGCCCCTCACGTTTGCGCGGCGCCAAACGCGCCCGCAGCAGCGCAGGACACGGCTCCCCGGGCCGGGGCGGGCGGCGGATCCGCCATCCGCAGCCTCCCAGGCGCAACGCAGCCCGGCTTCCTACCCCCAACCGTGTTTACTTGCGGCCAGAAAGCTCCACGCCCCGCATTAGGCCCCTACCCAGCAGGCATATATACATTATCTATATATTTAAAAGTATGTGCATCTATAAAACGCGTGGCATACGTGCGCGCCCGCCTCGCCGGGAGGCTGCGGGGCGCCACCGACCTGACGAGCGGGCCGAGCTGCAGCAGGTGCAGCAGCAGCACGAGCGGCTTGTCGCGGCTCACGTCGCGGTGGATGAAGACGAGGCTGAGCTGCACGAGCGCGCAGGGCAGCAGCGCGAAGAGCAGCGTCAGCGTCTGCCACATGCGGTCCCCGGCCGCGCCGTAGGCGCCGCTCAGCCGCAGCGCCGCCGCCGTCTCGGCCACGAAGAGGGCGAGCGAGACGAGCACCGAGCCCGGGAATTTCATCGCCGCCCGCGCGCGCGGGGCGCGTTGCCGCCGCCGCCGCCGCCGCCGCCCAACGGCCGCCCCAACCGCCGCCCAACGGCCGCGGCGGAGCCCGCTAGGGGGAGCCGGCGGCCGCGCTCGCGCAGCCCCGCGGCGGCAGCAGGGGGAGCCTGAGGGGCTGCGGGCGGGGGCGGCCCGGGCAGCCCTCCCCGGCCGGGATCGAGCGCCCGAGCGAGGCTGCGGCGCCGTCCGGGTTAATGCTGCCTGCCTGGGGGCTGCCGCCATTAATTAGAAAGCATTACAGTATTAATACTGTGTACCTGGGAGAGACAGTATTAACGGTAGCATCCTGACGGTCACGTTTAACTGTTGTGGTGCCGGGGCCCGGCACACAAGTACCTGCTCCTCAGATCATTGTCGTTGCCACCGGCCTTTTGCCTCCAGGCCCCTGCAGGGACGAAACCCACTGCCCTGCGCTGCCGCTGGCAGGGGCTGTGTGCACCGGCCTGAGCGCGTCCCCTGCGCCAGCGGGAGCCCGGGGTCAAGTAGCACTGATGCCCACTTGGGCGGTGCTCGAGTGGCTCTCATGCCTTCCCTGATGGATCTTGTTTGTGCCTGCCCGCTGCCAGGTATTTGCAGGGCTGCATGGGGAGATGAACCAGACACCTGAGACCGTGTACAAACACCTGAGGGGAGAATGTGAAGAGGATGGGAACAAACCCTTCTCGGTGGTGGCCAGTGACAGGACAAGGGGCAATGGGTGTAAGTTGCAACACAGGCAGCTCCATCTCCATGTGAGGAGGAACTTCTTCACTGTGAGGGTGCCAGAGCCCTGGCACAGGCTGCCCAGGGAGGTTGTGGAGTCTCCTTCTCTGGAGATCTTCCCAACCCGCCTGGATGCCGCCCTGTGCCCTGTGCTCTGGGTGTCCCTGCTGGAGCAGGAAGGTTGGACTGGATGATCTCTAGAGGTCCCTCCCAACCTCAACCATTCTGTGATTCTGCGACAGGAAAGGCCCGGTGTGGGATATCAAAAGCTAATGGCCTGTTAAGGGGATAATATTAGTAGCTGTTTGTTTATCAGCTACCATCCTTCAGTGCAGCTCTGGCTAACCTGTATCCCCGTCGCTTGCCTCTGGTTGGGCTCCACTGGTCATGGCAAAGATGGAAGCTGAGCTAAGGAAGGGGCCAGGTGCCTCCATCATCCACTGCTCTTCACCAGCAATGGATGGATCTTGCTGGAGAAGGAAGAGGCCATGTGTAGTGGGAATTTAAGTAGGCTGCAAGTAAATGCCTGCATGGGAAACAACCCATGGGCCAAAACCTTCTCCTGTCTCCTAGGAAAACTACCATGGGATAGTTTTACCTAATTACTGTGTGCGACCTGGATGTTTTACCTAATTCTCAGATGAACAGTTTCACCTTTGATAAAATGGTACCACTGAGAAGCTTTTGGGGCGCTGAATTGTTACTGCTCCTGAAAGAAAAGTTGCTGGTGCTCAGAAAGGCAAGTAAGGAATTAAGCAATCCAGTGCAAAACTGTAATCGTTAAGGTTGGGTTTTATTTAAGGCAAAAGATAATCACAGCTTTTATATTAATAATATGGGTATACACAGAGTTTGTTTTGTCACTATGAAGCCTAATATGAACACTGCTTTTAAAAAGCTATAAAATCCAGTTTCTATCATAATCTACAATACAAAACTAGTACAATAAACACATTCTGAGAGATCACAGTGTTGAAGACGTCGGAACAGCAGGGCTTCTGCCTTTATACAATAAGGTGCATTTCTAGAGAATCAAAGGGACGCAGGTTCTACGGGGACTACACGGAACCTCGCTGTGGCCGCGAGCCGCTGCCGCGGCACGAGCCCAGGACGCAGCACGTACTCAGGAAATGGACACCAGGGGCTACGGTCTATTGAATAACCAAGTGGCACCAACACAAACTAGATATGGAGTAACACCCTTTGTTCCCTTTGTGAGTAATGCCATTGAAGTTCCCTGGACTTTTGATTGGCCTTGGCACTCATGGATATTGCAGACATACAGAGTCCAAGCGGGTATAAAACTGCTGCTGTATAAGGGCCTTTGTGGGCAAACACCTGGGCTCTCCTGTTGCTCTGTGCACTAGTCTCACTCACCCCGTGGGGCTCAGGAGCAACATGCATCTCCCATGGGTTCAGATGAGCAGATGGGCCCAAATATTTGCACTTTTGGGACTTGCAACGATGCAGTTTTGCCCCGATTTCACACAGTAGAAGGGACTGACCGGCACCCATAAAGTCTAGTGGAGAGTCACCGTTCTCCCTGCATGGGCATGGCAGATCAGCCTGTAAAAACGAGTGCTCGAGGCCAAATCAGTGGAAAAATCAGACCTCTTCAGGGGAAATCTTTCTTCTCTCATTCATGTTTTTGTTAATGAAGACAGGAACTGAGTTCAGTTGCAGGTTTGACAGTATTGCTCTTCCATATGAAATGGAACTAAACACTTGAATAGGATTCACTTCACGCTTAAAACAGGATGTAATTGGCTTCATGGCTTCTATATGAGCTTGTTTGTGAGGGATACAGTCATGCAGTGCTGTTGATGAGTATTGCTGCACTATACAACACACTTTATTCGGCTATCACTATACCACTATACAAAGTAAGATTTTAGCTCATTTTCTGCCACTTTTGATGGTATCGCTGTATTCACCTGACTGCCTCCATCTTCCCTCTGAGTCACGCCATGAACAAGTCAAGGCACTTCCTCGTATTTATGAAAGGTAACTAAATGTTCATATTTTAAAGCAGTTTGCTGTTTAGTGTACAGAACCAGCAGGGACATCAGTGATAGCAGTGACTGGGCAGGAAATTTTGAAGATTAAAAAGTCAAAAATGTGTGCACGTTGGCTTCTTGCTTTTTTCCCCCCGACCATTTAAGCACTCATAGCATATGCCACTTTTATTCCATTAAATGATGGCTGGAGGCAGTAGGTTCAACCATGGGCAGTCCCTCCCTAGGCAGAGGTTTATCAGTGGGTTTGCTTGCGATGGCTTCACTCTCATGGCAATGAAAGGTTGTGCAAGGCAGCCACAACCTGTTAAGTCCAGCACCTACTGCACCAGTATGTGCGCAGTGAAGCAGCCTCCGTGCTGTTCCCCTGGAAAATGCCTCATCACGTCTCAAAACTGTATTGTTTGGTGGGCCCTGAGCTTTTTTGGCTTATGGCTTTGCAGTGTGGTCTTCCCTCAATAACGTGATTTTTGGTCATTTTCTCATAATTCAATTTAGCATTCATGCTGCATGCTACTTAACCCAGGACATTAAGTGTAGATGCAAAGGTCTTCTCAGGACAATCCGAACAGTGCTAGTAGCCAACATTTGCTCGACTGTGCAGTCCTTTACAGGACGCTTACGCTTTCAGATCTACACAGCAATTCTTAGTCCTCACATACTAATCTCGGTACAGATTAGAAGATGTACACATGCCAGGAGATTGTCAAGGCAGGTAGGAAAAAATCCCCGGAGCTGTGATTTCTATGGCAGACCTCACACTCACATTCTGTCCATGGATATTAGAGGTCAGGATTTCCAAACGAGTAGCGAGGCTCTTTTCTCAACATGCCTGCATGTGCTAAGATAGGGCACTGCTCACCCAAAACACGCAGTGTCTTGGCAGAGGCTGTAGCTACACATGCAAATAGTGATTTGCCTACAAAAATTGGATAGCCTATGAAATTTTCCATTTGTACCTATTTCGCCTGTATGTTTTTTAGCATGTCAGTTATCCACATTTAGTTTCTTGGCAGGATTTTGAAAAATAATCTTATTATCCTCTTCTTATATTCTCTGCATGTCCATATAAAGAATATCAGAACACCAAAATGGCATTATTTATGTACACAGATTAATGAAAAGTGTGATCACTTTACTTGCATTCTTTGGAGCATATTTTCCAGAACTATTTGAACATACATTTTGGAGTGTTTAGCAATTTTACTCAATTACTTTTGATTGTCGTAAGAGAACTGAGATACTAGAGAAGTGAGCACAGTTCCTAGAAAGCCACTCTTGTGTTTTATCCAATGATGCAAAACAGCAGTGCCAGTTCTTACACTGTATAATAATTTCTACTTATCAGGGAAAAGAGACTGGCCGAGAGTATAAAAATAATATCATGTAAATAAATAGACAACAATAAGTAGACATTCTTAAATAAAAAGAATCTATCTCATTTTCAATAGCAGAAGACCTGGGCTGCCTCTTCATCCTTGTGAACTAATTCATAGATTGGGAAGGAAAAGAGAGGAAGCTGAAGGAAACACAATGGAAACGAAGCAGGTATGTAAACCAGTGGCAAAAACAAATATATTGCGATCTTAAGAATCTGTGAATAGTATGAAAAAAAAATGTATTTGTTAGAACTGTCCTGTTGCTGGAGCATGTATTGCATCTGGCTCTCGGAATGCTGAAATGCTTAAATCTTGACATTTCAGATCTACTTTCCCTCAAAAGTGTCCCAAGGCAGCAATCTGCGGATAACCTACCAACAGTCATGATTAGTACATAGCTCCTTAAGCTCATTTGTAAATCTACAGCTTTACTCACAAAGAGCATCACACGAGCACAAGGACATCACAGAAGAGCACCAAAACCACACCAAACACATCCTCTTTGCTTTAGAAGCCTAATCACTACTGTATGGCCTAAACTTCTACTGCATATGAGACAGAAACCAAGCACAGTAAAGAGACTGATGTGCAAACAAGATTGAGTAGCTTGTGTTTTACACCTTGAAAGAGGCTTGTCAAGGTTCTGGTCATAGAGCCTTTCATCACAGTACCAAGGCAGAATCTGCTCGGCAGGCATACAATATTTGGGTCTGTTAGGGCTTGATTCTGGAGCAGGATGGAGCCATCATCCAGCTGGGGATGGATAGCAAAGGTTGCATTAGCAATATCTCGGAGCAGCAAGGAGGGAACATAAGGGAACTTATTACTTCTTTTAATCACGCTGAAAAGTGCTTTCGGCTCTACTCATGTTGCTTTCGGGTCTTAAACGCAACAAGTAAAGGTTGCAACAGCATATGTTTAAAACAGTGCAAATGGAAAAAAAAAAGCGTAGAAGATTCCAAGGGGAAGTCATGTCTGACGAACCTCATAGCCTTCTATGATGGGGTGACAGGCTGGCTGGACGAGGGGAGAGCCGTGGATGTTGTCTACCTTGACTTCAGCAAGGCTTTTGACACTGTCTCCCACAACATCCTCATACGGAAGCTCCGGGACAGTGGGCTAGACGAGTACACGGTGCGGTGGATCAAGGGCTGGCTGGATGGCAGAGCTCAGAGGGTGGTCATAAATGGGGCCGAGTCCAGCTGGAGGCCTGTGGCCAGTGGTGTCCCCCAGGGGTCAGTGCTGGGCCCAGTGCTGTTCAACTTATTTATCAATGACCTGGACGAGGGCACGGAATGCACCCTGAGCAAGTTTGCGGATGACACCAAGCTGGGTGGAGTGGCCGACACTCCGGAGGGCTGTGCTGCCATCCAGAGGGACCTGGACAGGCTGGAGAGTTGGGCAGAGAGGAACCTCATGAGGTTCAATAAGGACAAGGGCAGGGTCCTGCACCTGGGGAGGAATAACCCCAGGCATCAGTACAGATTAGGGGTCGACCTGCTGGAAAGCACCTCCACGGAGAGGGACCTGGGAGTCCTGGTTGACACTAAGTTAACCATGAGTGAGCAGTGTGCCCTCGTGGCCAAGAAGGCCAATGGCATCCTGGCCTGCATCAGGAGGAGCGTTGCCAGCAGGTCAAGGGAGGTGATTCTGCCCCTCTACTCAGCTCTGGTGAGGCCGCACCTGGAGTACTGTGTGCAGTTCTGGGCACCCCAGTATAGGAGAGACGTGGAGCTTCTGGAGAGGGTCCAGAGAAGGGCAACCAGGATGATTAAGGGAATGGAACATCTCTCGTATGAAGAGAGGCTGAGTGAGCTGGGCCTGTTTTCTCTGGAGAAGAGACGGCTCAGAGGGGATATGATTAATATGTATAAGTTCAGGAAGGGAGAATGCAGGGAGGAAGGGGACAGGCTGTTCTCACTGGTGGCCAGCGATAGGACGAGGGGTAATGGCCACAAGCTGGAACACAGGAAGTTCCGTCTCCAGGTGAGGAGGAACTTCTTTACTGTTAGGGTGACAGAGCAGTGGAACAGGCTGCCCAGGGAGGTTGTGGAGTCTCCTTCTCTGGAGGTCTTCAAAACCCGCCTGGATGCCACCCTGTGCCACGTGCTCTAGGTGTGCCTGCTTGAGCAGGAAGGTTGGACTAGATGATCTGTAGAGGTCCCTTCCAACCTTAAATATTCTGAAATATTCTGAAATAAGATTAAGAGGAGGAGAAAATTAAAAGAACCACATTGAGGTAATGATTCACATTTTCAGAAGAGCCCATAGATGTTTTTTCACCATGTCAGAAGCTCTAACTGCACTACCTCCCAACATAACCACCGTATTCCAGCTAGGTCAGGTAAGAAAAGCCATGAAGCAGCAAGAATGAGCCCCAAGCGCCAAAGGCGCTGCCTGGTGAAGCTCATCAATAACCCCAAGGACACCCCAAGATTTTAAAAGATGTATTCCGAGAGGCTGGATTTCATCCCAAGAGGCTGGATTTGTGTGCTAGCTGTTTATACCCTACCCCCAAAGCTTGCACGCTGCTCTTGCTGAAGGCAGGGCCAGGCTCGTGCGGACTCGCAGCGCTCCACTTGGGACAGGGGTCTGCAAACCAAGCAGTGCCATCACCCTTCCCGTTGCTCAGCGGGTAAGGACACAGGCCCTCTCTTCCTTCTCCCAGCATTCGTACCACATGAAGCCAAACCCAACGCTAAGGACCGCACGCATACAGAAGAGATGCAAAGAGAGAAGATTGTTTGGCTGGTGCTTTAGAGGGCAATACAGAGCAAACCAGATTGTTCTCTGAACGGCAACCAGAGGGAATTCATTCCATAAAGAGTCAGCGGGAAAACCCCCAGAAGCCTGATGCTGGATTCTTAACATACATTTCTTGCCATTTGTGAAGAATTACATTAAAAGATAAATACAAACATGACCGCTGGAAGTTAAACATATGAAGCAGAGCGATCTTAACAACTGTTATGGTACACTGTAACATATAGGTGGTTTCTGTGTTACAACATGAGCGCTCTTGGTTTGGTCAGGATCTAAATTACTGTATTTATTTATTTATTGTGCTCTAGATTTATTGAAGTGTCAGCAAGGATCTCCTTCAGGCACCTCTTGAGAAACAATTAACTGGATACAATTCAATGTTGTATCCCAGGGAAAATTAAAGAGCACTGGAAACAGAATCAAAAGGTGATGATCACTGTGCTGGTCTGCACAGATTCCTTTATGGCTTCAGTCTGGGAGCTTTTTCTGATGTTCAGTTATCAAAACAGTTGGTGGTTTGGTTTTTTTTTAAGTATGTATCTGTAGATAACATGGCTTGTAATATGTGTAAGATTACAGCAGCCTTGAGTCCAGATCATAGCAGAACTCATTTCTTAAATGTCTTAAAATAAAATACAATTAGAATGGCTAATTGTATGGCTACCTAAATGGTGTGGCTCAAATACAGTTACTTGTATGTGTTAGCTGAGTAAGGTTGGCCTTCTATCAGATCGAAAAGGTCTTGATCACAGGGCAAAGTGGACAGGCTAAAAGCTTTGCCTTCCTTAGCCATCTGTTTAAAAAGATTCAAGTTAAGAAGTATATTCCTAACTTCCTAATTTGGGTATTCCAAAACCCAAATTACAGCAAGTAGATAAAAATCCAGATGGACTTAGAATCTGCCTTGCTGAAAATAGATTTTGCTGTCATCTCACAGGAGCCTTAGAACCCAGCTGTGCAAAGCTTATGGGCATCCCCATTGCCCTTGGAGCTACCCTCACACAGAGGAAATCAGAGTTTCACCCTACGAAATGGGCACTGCTATGTGAGCACATCTCCTCACTCAGCCTAATGAAGCTAGGGGACATTAATGGCCATCTTAAAAGATCTTTAATCCCCCAGAATAAACAATTTGTAACAACCATATTTTGAATTTTAACACTTTTGTTCATCAAAAGATTCCCAAGTATTTGAGAAACGAATACTGAATGGTGATGCTTTATTCACCAATGAAATGTTTACTCCTGGGCTGAAGTAACTAACCAGAGCCCCAGAGTGCAAGACTGAACAGCAGCAATCTTAATCTGCAGCTCATAATAAGGCAAGTCATCCCATTAAAATAACCGTGGCATAGGTAGGAATGGGATTACTGTATTCAGTGTAGAAGGACTGCAAGACCTGACTCCACTCTGCAATCAAGGGAGCTCTCTGATGGATTAGGCATTAAGAATAAAGCGAGCTGGATTCTCCTCCAGATGAGAATGTAGGGAGGGAGGCTGCCATGTTAGCAGTGCATGTAGATGCCTTTTCATTCTAGCTGCAATTTTTGACCCACCATTCTCCCCCATATGTCTTTAAAGGTAACTGTATTCCAGTATTTCAATATAAATAAAAATAAATAAATAAAATCAAGTATATTTTAAATACAGATATTTGCTCTTATAGCTTTCTGAGTACAGACCTATGCTCTTTAGCTTTCAATTATCATATATCTACAATGTATATAAAAATAGGATATAAATGCAACCCTTAAGTGCTAGTGCAACTAGTGTTGAGCAAACCTTGGATTCCTACAGCTACAAATCATTTGGGCAGACGCATAATTTTGTTACCCAAGGGAAGAAGCCATTTGGAGCTCTCCCGGGATTTTCTCAAGCTCCATACTGCCATCCAAAGTTCACCTTCAATCTGCAGGGTTCGCACTGAGCAACTCAGGAGGAGGACCGTTTTTCCACCCTGTGCAACCTGTACGTTACTATTCAGAGACCCCGCTAGGGGAAATGATTATTTGAGGGAAGGGGATGCTTTAAAGGACGCGTTCGCGTTGCTGACGGGTAGTTATGTAGCAGGGCCGCAGCGGCAGCAAAGCAGGTGCCCGCTGCACCCACGGGCGGGCGCGGGTGACGGCAGCTCCCGGTGCCCCCTGAGCTGCCCGGCGCCGCCGAGCTCCCGCGCGCTCACGTTCACCACCCGCACGCGCCTCCAGCCCGCCCGCCGCAGCGGCGCCCGCCGACCGCCCAGCTACCCGTGCACGCGTGCGAGGATGAAGGGGCTGATGAAGGAGCTCCAAGGTACGGGCGTTTTTACCACGTCTCTAGTACTAGCAAATGGGGCTGACGTAGCAAGTCGCAGCTTCTGCGTTTGTGCAGCGCAGTGACATATCTAGGCCACCCTCCTTCTGCCCGTGCGCTGCTGCGTAAAGATTTCTTTCCTCAGGTCTCTTCTTAAAACCCACGGAATAGATCACTTTGCTTTTTTTTCTTTGAATGTTCCTATAAGTCTATCTCGCCTTTTTTTTTTTTTCCCCTCCCTGTGTAATCACCACATTAAAAGTTACATAATGCCCCTTTCTCTCTCCCTTGAGTAATTAGAAGAATTTTGCTTCTCATCACAGCTAAATATCGCCCCCCATCAGTCATTCCCCTCCCCCCCCCCTTTTTTTTCCACAGAACCGTGTTTTATCTTATCCTCGTCCCCCCCCCACGCCTCCCTCCCCAGCCCCCGGGTGTCTCCCGTTTCGCCTGCCCCCCGCGACATTAAGGCTGGCGTTTGTGGTGCCACGGGCTTGTTTTGCAAAGAACCTCTCCGGGCGGGCGGGGGAAGCGGCCGCGGCCTCGCCGCCTGCCGCCCGCTACACGAAGACGCTGAAGAGCGGGAACTCGGCCTGGTTGGGCTGCAGCAGGTCGGTCAGGAAACACACAGTCCCCGAGAAGCCTTCGTACAAACTGTACACGCTCTCCAGCGCCCGCGAGCCAGCCTTGAACTCCTCCGTGAACAGGAACTCTGCGAACCTAGGCAACAGAAAAGCAAAGGAAGCTTCTCAGCGCTTGGCATCCCTGGGTATCCGCTTGCTCGTCGTTTGAAAGCATCGCTTCAGTACTGTGAGCAACTGAAAAAAATAGGATGTTTGTTATTTAACCTTACCTGCGGATTTGCGCTGGCTTCCACACTAAACTGACATCATTAGCTCAAGACGAGCAGGACCTCTGCAATCTGCACATGCTTCCTTAAGAGCTATAAACTTCTTCTCTATGTCTCTATAATACATCTCATTAAACATTTGTTTAACTTATTGATAACTCTTAGACCGGTTATCACTTTAGTGGAATTCAGGCAATGTTTTGTATTGATGTAACTAATTGTGTAATGCTGAAATAACTAAAATGAAATCTTCTTCCTGTAAAACATTGGGCTGAAAAGAAGTCTCCCTAATTACCACACCATTTATCCTCATTATTCTGTGCTGAAAGAAAAACAGTTATGAAGACTGAATACCATCATTCTGAACATGTAAAGTAAATCACAGAAATATAAATTAAAGAAGTTATCTGCTGCAATATGGCATAATTACTGAAGCAAGATGAGCAGCACAAGGCTCATCTGGTTAAGACTAGGGTGAGAGCTGTGTTTATTTCCTTGTTTTCCACTTTTATAGGGACAATGTCAAATGCTCTGAAAATCAAAATGAATTACTATAATAAACAACAGCTCATTTTATCCCACTCCTCGACTTGGGTATGTAACTTGGTAGCTTTTTGACCTCCCAATACAAGGAGACCTGGAGGTGCAACACTGCTTTCCACCAACCCACTCAGATTTCCCTTAGAAAAATCCCAGGCTTCTGGGCAGGAAGGGAGTTGAAACCAACTGAAATCAAACTTGGGGCAGCCCCGAACCAGAACTTTGGGGCACTCTGCAAAGTGCATTTGCCCCACGACTCAGACTCCACTTCCAAGAAACAGGATCACACGAGAGGTTTAAACCTCTGTGTTTCATCAGAGCGCTGTGATCACAGACTAGCAGCAGCCCCTCAAATGCTCCTGAAACTCAGGATTACCACCCTGCATGCAGAAGGGTAGGAAGGAACTAACTTTTGTGCCCTGTAAATGTATTTGGAGTTGCCAGTGAGCCGGTACAGGAGCAGGAACACATAGGCACTGCCGGCCACCCCATGGCAGATCCCTGGTCCCTTCTTCAACAGGCCTTTCTGCCAAGTCAGCTCCCCGCAGCGGATGCAAGTGTCCAGGTACTGGGGCTTCTTGGACACCAGGTAAGCTTTGGCAAACAGGTATGCAATGCCTAGGAGACAGCAGAGAAATTGTCCTTTATAATAAGCACAGCCAGGAGCTTAAAAGAATGCATAATAAATTGCAAGATTAACACACAAAAAAATGCGGCCTCGTGCCCTATATGTGCGTGTATTACAAGTCTATGTGCTAGATAGGGGCAGATGCTATCTGCTACACTCAAAGCATGCAGTAAGATAAACTCAGCCACTGTCTTTAACAACAGCACTTTCAATCCTCTCAGTGTCTAACTTAATTTCAGGGTTTACTGTAACTTTCCCAGTCCTTCAGCAATTTAAGTTGCATTTTTTGCCTTTAAAACAGCAAGCACTTAGCACTGTCTACTACTGGTTTTGAATTCTTGTTCCTTCACTTATTTAAGAAAGGATTCAAATATATTAATCATAATTCCCCCAAACCAAAATTGCGCAGCTGCACAATGTAATGTTAAGAAATTCATATGAAATAAAGCCAACTCAAACCCCTTAGGAAATGTTCAATTGTGGTTTGAACACGCACTGGAGCAGCTGAAAAATGTTCTTGTAACCTACCTGAGTTTTATTACCCGCAGTCAAGAGTAAATTTTATAGGAGAGAAAAATAACATTTAATGAATTTAAATAGCTGTAAAATGCCTCTTCTATAATAACTTCTTTATAGCCTTTGGGGTTTTGTCTCCTTGGTTCAGTCTCACTGCTTTCGCCGGCAGTAACTTAAACCCAGGCCAAGGCCACTCTCAAGATACGAGGACGAGGGCTTCTCCCCCCACGTTTCATCACTAGTCCAGCTCTCCCACAAGTTGAGTTTCCTTCTCTTAAAAATAATTTAAAAAAAATCAATATGCAAAAACTGATTTCCATTCAGAGTGGAACAAGCAAGAAGCTTGTTCATTAATCATACCAAGAAAAAGATAAAGCACCAGCAGAATGAACAATTAGTACAGTGAGGTACCTTTTGTAATTTAAAAGGAGCATCTTTAATAGCAATGCACTGATGCTCGGCAACACCCTTCAGAAGAAGTCGGCTTTCCTGCAACCCGTGGGGTTCAGGTTAAAGAATCATGACTCGTTAGCCACAAAATTCCGCCCAGCAGCAAAACACTGTCTCAATATGCAGCAGTGGTTGCCACAATCACTTGGGTACAGAATTACATTTTGATCATGTAAGACATCGCCCTTGGTTCATCAACCCAAACTAAGAACTCTTCTTCTGTCTCAAAAGCAGTTGCATATGGGTACATTTCAGGAAAAAAAAAAAAAAAAAAAAGGCTCATGCTACTACAAACCCTCCTCTAGGGTCTGATTTCTGCTTTATCTATGTAATACCTGCAGGTGTAAACCTGCATTTTGATAAGTGTGGGGGGCAGGAACTCTTCTGAAGGCCTTCCCACAACTCATGGCTGTCTCTGCACCTGTGTAGCTTTGTTCACAATTTTTCCACCTGGTCAGATGCTCCCTTTCAACTCACCTGTGCCATTCTTCAAAGGCTTGTCACTCCAGGGAGCAAGAGCGCGGAACATGCAGCTCACGCCAAGGCACCGGGCAGAGCTCACTGAGCTCTGATCACGCAGCCTTTTAAAGTCTGCCCTTGCAGCTGCTTCAGCAAGACATAAATCACTCCTAACTGCAAGGGGGAAAAAAATCTGCCTGCTCCCCATAAACTGTCAAAATCAGACACATTTAACCTGGCTTATCTTGTACATGGAATCACCTAATGTGGAAAACCAACATGATCGGCATCTGCCTATTTCATAGCATCAGTTTGAGAAGGACCTGGAGCTCCATGGCACCAGTGGACAAGCTCGTTCTCCCGCTCAATCGTCTCTCCCAGCTCCGGCGGCCAGTTGCTGTTCTGCTCCTGGTCCATGAGGAAGTCAACGCTCTGCCACACGAGCTCCTGATCTGCTGGCTGGAGGTACTCGTAATAGGAGAGCAGCATCTGGAGGATTGACGAAAGCCCATGTGCTGCGCCTGGAAAGAACAGCAGCAGGGAGAAAGGGAGGGTACAATTGGGTTCTGTGTCCTGACGTATTTTAGGTACATGCCACTATGATTTGGTACCACCTCTGCCTTTTCCACTCCTCCAATTAAGCAAAAATTTCACATGGAGTTTGTCTGCTCTCCCTATAAGTGACTTGAGTCATGAAGCTGAACTGTGTCTCAACTGAAAGATATTTCATTTTCTAGGCACAGAACTGTGTTCATTACTCTGAGGTCTTCGTTGAAGCTAAATTGAACCTGGACCACAAAAGATGTTTCCATTTACTAGCACAACAACTAGCTGCAACCTGAAGTGCAGGGCAAGAATTGTCTGCCCCTGCCAGCGTCTGTGGAGCAGGATCACACTCTCTGGTCAGCAGGTCACTTCTCTGTCCTTTCCCCTGCCAGAGACTGCACTAACGTCTGCAAACCCATCTCGTGCCTCCTGCGCTGTGATCCTGCACCTCGAGGACCCCACGTGCTCCATGATGTGTCACCAGTGCCTCAGATGAGCTCCAACTATGTGCTAAGCTGCTCCTGGCCGGTGGGGGCTGACCAGCTGGAGCCCTGTTCTCCCCTCAGGGAAAAACATGGCTAGAAACACTACTTTGAGGAAAAGAAAGGAATGGGTCCCAACTCAGTAGCAATCCATCCCACACAGGATGTTTTATACAGTTTCTCTCCAAAGCGTTTGCTGCCGAAGCATCGGAGCGCTGCATCACTAAGATGCAGTTGCTCATTTCTACTCACCCAGATACTCCGTCCCGTAGTAGGAGTACATGAGCGGGAATGGCTTCCTCTTTTTCACTGCATATTGCTTTCCCGACTCTAATATGGCCAGGCAAATGGATTTTATCTGTGCTGGAGTCAATACCTAGACAGAACCATCAAAACAAACACAAAGTCCATTATAATTTCTTTTTAAGACGTCTTCCAGACTTCTGCTCTTCTCCTGGTGTGAAAGATAAAGTAACGCCTTTAACCACGGGAGCGTGCCATAACACACCCCACTATTAAAACTCCCTTACATAACACAATAAATTCCCATAATGTTTCTCAAAACAGAGCTTCAGCCCGTCTCGGGAAGGCCCGTGTCAAATCTCCGGCCGCGCAGATGGGCTGAGAGGAGCCCGCTGAGACGGTCCCGCCCTTCCCTCGCCACCTCACGGCGGCAGTGACAGCGACCGCGAGCACCAGTCGCGCCGCACAGCAACAGCCCGGAGGCTGCACGGACAGAGATTAGGAACATGCAGCAGGGATGGGCTTAGGAAAAGTGTCAATGTTATGGGCTTTATCAGGACCTACTGAAGAGCACAGTTGTTCTTCCAAAAAAGAAAAAATGGTGTGTTCTGTTCTATATAAATACTAAATATTTGGCTTTAGAGATAGCTCGCTATTGAATAAAAAATCAGGCATTCTTACTTTGGAAAATGCTAATGAAAATGATGCAGAAGGCAGACTTGTAGGAACAGAAGCCAGTTACATTTGTTGAACGTCATCACCGTGAAAAGGTCAAATGCCTTTGTTTGAATGGGAGTCCTAAATAAGACATCTAAGGGCACCACTTTCCGAGGTGCCAGAAGGTTAACGGGATTGACAAATCCTGTATTTCACCAGCCATGAACTTGTTTGAGTGGCTGGCTTGAAGCACTGAACACAGAATCTGTTTTGCAGGCGTCAGCTACGAGGGTTGTGCTTCGCTCTGCACTGCCCCATCAGCAACTTCCCTGTGTCAGCCACCACCGCATGTCACCCACCCTCATTACGTCAGTCACCTGTGGTTGTGTTTTTGGCTTGAGGGACAACCAGTATGAGAGCAGTATTTTGAAGAGAAAAAGAAAACGCAAGAAAAGAAAAAGAGAATTGAGAAAGAAAAGTCCAAATAAGGCAGGAAAGAAGGCTGAATAAATAGCTTTGATGAGACAAATAGCTGTCTTAAAACTAACCCGAATGTCAAGAGCATGTCTATAAAACATTTCTGAACACATTTCCTTTGAAAATATAATTTATATTTTCAGAGGACTTTCAATTACTTCTCTAAGATTAAAAAACATCTTCAGCATTAAATATGGTGGGAATGCTTATTATCAGCTATATACTCTTGTTCGACAGAGAAAAGATGCTACAAATAATTAATACCACTTGGAACTTCCCTATGAAAAATGTTCTTTGCCTCTCTCATCTTGCTCCCTGATAGCAACGCCTTTCGTTATAGTTACTCCAGATGATGACAATACTCGGACAACTTGGAGGACAACCTAGTTCTGGTCTTGATAAATGATCTGTAATTTCCCTGCAATAGAAGTAAACAAGTTGCTAAGACTCTACTCATTTTTCATCAATTTTAAATGAATTGTTTTAGCTTCACTGAATTTACAAAGGTAGTTTAATTTCTAAGCAAGTGAGCAAATCACAGACTGCTGGTGGCAGACACTGCATTCTCTTTAGGGTTCTGATTTCATAGTTTTGCAGTCCTGAATCTAATCCTCCAAATCATATACTGTGTAAAAGGATTAGTAAGATTTAAAAATCTTTAAAAATAAATGCAAAGAGTAATATCTTCTAGTTGTAATTCTGAAAAGCAAGGATTGGAAAAAAAATATTGGTTCATTTTCTGTGTGTTATGGTTCCTCCATTTTAGAAATCAACTAGCTTTCAATAAAAATCATGGATAAACTTATTTTTATGTTCATCACATTTAATTTTTAATTGACTTCAGGAGCCCTTTAAAATGCTGATGTGTGTATTTTAAATGGACCCTTATTTCTACCAAAATCCACCTTTATACACTACGAAGTAATGTAGTGACACATACAAAGGAATGCATCATTCACTATTTTTAATACAAGTGTACAAAGTTAAGCTTTAGGCTCTGTAACACTTAAAGATACTAAGCTCCATGATTACTTAAGTGTATACATAGTGTATTCTTTCTACTGTATTTCTTGGCATAAAGAAATTAGTGTATTCTAGTGTATTTCTTGGCATAAAGAAACTGTTCTCTATTTATTATTTATTATTCATTATTTATTATTTATTATATGTTGTTTTATATCACCTCCTTCCCAAAATGCAAAAAGCCTAAATGCAAATCTAATTGCAAACTGATTGCTTAAATCAAGGTTTCTAGCTTGACCATTCAAATTGCAGTTAAAAGGCATGACTAAAATCAATCCATCTTGAGACATTTCCAGATCAATAAAAAGAAAACGGAAATGAATTTTATCTTTTTCTGTTAAAATAACCCTCTCTCTCTTACCACTGAGCCCTGCTTTGACTCCAAACATCTGTGAGGACTCCAAACATTTCTTACAAGCACCTGGCTCCACAGACAGTGAAGGCTGCTGCCTCCTTTTCCAAAACATTTTGATATGAAAGACTTTTATTTACCTCTTATTCCAGTAACTGGTTCACTGAGAATAGAGATGCTGGTTATTAGTGGCCTTCTAAAGGTTTAATGATTAGATATCACATTTCAGATCCCCTTTGGGTGGCTACATTTCATTTCAGCAAAGTCTCGGATAAAACTTTGCAAGATTTCTTTCATTTTTTCCCACTGCAGTAGTGCAAAGCAGACCTAGGGCTGCTTGGGCCCCTAATGCTCATTTTCACTTCGTTGTAGTCACAATTCCTCCTTGCCCCAGAGAATTACTGAAGCTGGATGTTTAATTAGGAAGAGCAAAGAAAGAGGCTGAAAGGAAAAACTACTTATTGATACCGCATCCTCTGGTGAAACTTGTGAGATGTTTCTCATATGGAGAATAAAGCCTATAATAAAATATAGCAGTCAGGAAAAAAATCATGCTTGAGATCTCTGGGTATCTGAGAAATTTGTTTACTATTATTTAATATGAATTGGCTACATAGTAGGCAAAACTGTTCTTCGTTATATCAATACTAATCCAAAAGACTACTGACACCAAGACATCTCATATTGCCGGTCATTTTACTTTCAGCAATCTCCTTTGGTGCTTTTAAAGATGCCCCAACCTGTCACTGAAGTGTTTGTTCATTTTGGTGTCTTCACTAACTCCCAGTTCAGAAGACCTTACGCAGAGGATTTTACACCTCCCCTGCCGTCTCCATTTCGGGTGGTTGCCGGAATTATTTCCTGCTTTCCTGCACTGCCCAGCGATGCTGCCTGCTGCTGAAAAGCTCCTCTGTTTGCATTGGTGGCAGCTGCATTCCCACGTATCTTCCGTGTTAAGCACAACACCTTGGGAGCGCCGCAGCCCTTGGTGTTTGCATTAGGTTCGCACTGCCCCCAGGAGCCCCACGTAGAGCCACGGGCGCCGCTAGGGCTGTGTCCACCGTCTCTCCCTTTTCCTTGCGTGTCACTCCGGACCATGTGCCGCCTTCCTCTACAGCATCCCACAAATTTGTGAATTATTTACTGCCCGGTGGTCAGTAAATCCCTGATAAAAAACAGCTAGGATGGGCTGTGCCTATAACCACGGAACATTGTGCTTTTTTTGCTGTGAGCCTTTTGCAGCCCGGGACTGTTTAGCTGCAAGTAAGTGATTTCCCAGCTCCTTTTCACCCATCAAGAGGGAGTTCATAATCTACCGTTTATACCAACGTTAAGCCTTGGTTGCATCTTCCAAAAATTTGCGTCTTCCAAATTGCAGGCAGCCAGTTTGACCTTGAGGATTAGGCAGAAGGAAGCAGAACTCAGTCTTCTTTGCGTCTCACTACAGTAGAGTTTGCAGTGCTTTATCATTCCTCGGAATGCTGGCTACTAATCCCTGGCATCATCATCTACCTTTTGAAAAGCATGGCTACATAAAGCTGCATATTCATATCGGATGGATTTGCAGATTGCAAACTTTGAGTTCAGAGATTTAGATTTGTTTCTAACAAATCTTTCCTGAACGTATGTAACAGAAGGCATTGGAGCGTATCTGCTTATAGTATCTACTTATAGATGAATATTACATGTTTTCTGCACATAAAAGTAGTTTTCGGAGGCAACACGTACACTTACTTTATGAGGGAGAAAGCCTTCTGTGCAGATAGAATCTTTTGAATATACATTAATACATCAGCCCTCTCCCTGAGGCACTTCTGAAAAGTCACTTACGTGAATTTGATCCCTTTTCTGAGGCTGATCCCTGATCTGAAGCTTTTTGTCGTGCTGTAAAGAGTATCACAAACAAGCTGACAGAAAAGGGGTCAGTCTAGAAGAGCTAAGGGAAGCTGTGTCACTAGCGCCATATTCCAGAAAGCCAGCAGAGGGAGCCTGGGAATTAGGCATAATATTCAGAACTGGGTTGCAGAAGACTGTGCAGCTGGCTGCATTCCAGCCAGGCAAGGTCAAGGCCACCTTTAATGAGCTTTTTAGCTGTCCTGGAAACTTTGTTTGAGGAATAAAGTTATTCCCCGAACTAGGGACGGTACCATTTCATACCCAACAGGCGTCACGCTGTAACATCACCAGGAAAGGCACCGCTTCGGTTCCCTTTGACGATGTGTTAGCACCGCTGCAGGACGCGCAGGCAGAGCACGGCCACAGAGCAGCAGCTCCTTCCTGTTCTCCCGAGCGCCTCCTGCCCACCCGCTGCACTGCTGTCCCGTCCCTCCTAGCGGGGCATTAGAGTCTCCTCGGAACACAGAGCCAAGGACTTAATGTTGGCAGACAAATGCAGTTATGAAGATGACCCAGGGACTCGAACATCTCTCTAGTGAGGGAAGACCTGGGCCTGGTCAGCCTAAAGAGAAGACTGAGAGGGGATCTGATAAAGATACAAATGCCTAAGGGGAGAATGCAGGGAGGAAGGGGCCAAATTCTTCTCAGTGGTGGCCAGTGACAGGACAAGGGGTAACAGGAAGCTCCATCTGCGTGCAAAGAACTTCCCTGTGAGGGTGCCCGAGCCC